GCTCAGGAGGTTGGGACGTGTTGCACATACCTAATCACCGTTTACTTTTTCCCACAATGCTAAGTATGTTTCAGCTGGAAAAAGGTTGGCGACATCACTCCGTTTCTATTCATTTGTTCTTTGTGTACCACTGTGAAGTGTAAGCTTAAACCGATGCACCTGTATGGGAGTTTCAGTCAGTCACGACGTGATTCGAAAAAAACCCAAGGTGCTTTAATCATGACGTAGTGGCATCTAATAAGTTATGTAACTTTGTGGTCTGTGTTGCGAAGTGTACATTTTTTGGTCGAGGTCTACAAAACTGCCAAAATGGATAGTGTGGGTTTCTAAAGGATCAATCGAATTAATGTCAGTGCATATGCTTCTACTTACCAGTCTCACATTCTGGTGTTTACCATATCTTTCTATTCCTTCGTTGCCTTTACTTCATGCCAACTCTTCTTATATTGGTTTCAAGGAATCTAAAAAGTGTTATTTTGTCGTTTCGTCTACTGTTTTCATTGGGTATTTTCTTTTGGTACAAACGAAGTGATTTCGATCGACAGCAAGCTCTCCAGCGCAAAAGAAGAGTATAATGTTTTAAGGGTGGTTTATGAAAAAGGTATGGTAAACAGGTGTAAGACAAGTATCTACTGTTTTATGAATAAGCTTAACCTCCGTCTCTGTAAAGCCTGCGTTTGCACCTCGGCCTATAGCTGCTATCTGGTTTGCATATCACTATGATCCCAGGAGCTACACTGGCTGGTACGCTTATTCCTCAAGGTCCTACCGTACCGGATAGGTCCATTGGATAATGGTAAGAATAAAAGTTGATACTGTTAATGCGTAAACCACTGCTCCATGATGATGGTCTGAGGATGAAGTCCCATTGCTGGCTGTATTAGGTGTAATAGTAAGGTTTATCGTGGATAAATAGCAAGACTGTGCTGGCACTGGTGTATGGAGCTGTAGCTCATTGGTTTGTAAGGTCGACTTTGGATGAGGGCATCACAGATCCGAACACTGCTTCAACTAATGAGGTTCAGACAAAGAGGAAGTATCACTAGCTTTCACAATCTAGGTGACTTATTGCCTATTGCTCGAACATGCACAGAGTTGGTGAATGGGTTTCGATTCGATGCTAATGCTGCCTTATGGGAAGGGTAGGGGTTAGAATACAGTTCGCTTCCCAAATGGCGCATCTTTTCCCCACTTCATTCTGGTGTTTTTTCCTTCTTTAGCACAATTAGATCTCAATCCACCCAGCCTGTAAATTTCAAAGGTTACAGGCCTCAGGCATGTCCGATTTGCTCTGGAGTCATGCAGATGCTTTCCTTTTTCTCGTTCAAGTACCCTGCAGAAACCCCCATGGTTTCGGCAGCCTAGGAGTACTAACCTTTTGCAAGCTTTCAAAGTTATACAAAACTCTTTGTCTCCTCCCTTGCCTTCACTCTGATACTAGCATTAAGCCTCTTAAAACTTTCTCAGTCACATCCTGTGACCCTACTTAACGACCCAGGCCAGCGAATAACGACTCGTAGTCTTAACATTCCGCTGTCTATTTCACACCAGAGCTTTCAACGTGCCAAGTAGTACAGTACACTTTTCTTGCTAGATCTTCGGAATCTCTAGCCATGGATGTATGTTGTGTTTCTGAGACGCATATACAGAATCCGAAAATGATTATTCACTTGACCTCACCTGGTCGATGTGGTGAATCTTCGAAATTCACTACGCATATCTGGAAATTCAATGACTGTCTCTTGTAGACTCAGTGGTTTAGGATGGTATTGAGTTCTCGGCGAAGAAAAAAGCGTCTCGACTAGAAATCAGTCAACCATCTGTGTGTCCGCCTACTGAATGGATCCACAGAAACGCTACGCACCTACAAATAATGCGGATGAAGAGAAGAAGAAGGAACTCTACAGACAACTGCAATCAGTACTGGACAAGACCCCACCCCAGTTGGTGTCATCAAAATTCTCATGGTTAGGGTGGCATAGATGCCAAACTGGGGGCGGACAACACAGGACGAGAACCAATCATGGGTCGAGGGGCACTTGGTGAAACGAATGAGAATGGAGAACTGTTTGCAGACTTCTGCGCACTCAACGATTTGGTGATTGGAGGTGCGGCAATGTGTACAAACACAAGGATGTTCACAAGGCAGCGACATGTATTTCACCAGACACCAGGACACTGAAAATCAGACCGACTTCATCTCAATCTGATGAAGGTGGAGATGCACTCAGCCTACTGGACACAAGATCAGAACAAGAAGGGGAGCAGATGTAGGTTCACACCACTCACTATCTATCTGGTGCAAGGAACCTTCAGAATCAAGTTGGAAGCCTTCAAAGAAGTTGGTAATAGACGGCCACAGTTGAAGCTCAACACCCAGAACAGAAACTGGAGGACGAAACTACAGCGGGCATCTTCGCGTCAGCTACCAGTAAAAAAGGTAGACACTAAGCAACATCCCCAAGGAAGTCTGCGTGGAGGAACATTGGAACTCTTTGAAGGAGACGTGAAAGGAAACTTGCATAACAGTGTTAGGAAGGAAGAAGAAACTAGGACAAGGAATGGATCTCGACGGCCACATGGAAGCTGATGAAGGAGAGAGAGGAGGATGGTGATGCAGATGAACCAGTGCAGAGAAGGGATAACAAGTAAAAGAGGAACCGAATACAAAATATAAAGCACTACACTGGACAGAGAAGTGAAGAAAAGGGCGGTGAAAGACAAAAGACACTCTTACGACACAAAAACAAGTGAAGCAGAACAGGCTGCAGTTAGACGAGACCTGACAACACTATCAAATAATCAGGCTACTATCTGGGGAGAGACCAACGCAGACGAAAGCAACATAAAATAGTGAAGGAGAACTAGTTACGGGAGAGGAGAATCAAAGGAAACAATAGGCTGATCACTCCAAAAAACTCAGATCGACAACCGTTAGCACCTGGAACTCGTCCAGAAATAGCACCAGCAACCAGCCACAGGACTACCAGTGAACACAAGCCCTCCGACAGAAGCTGAGGTCCTGGAAGTCATAAAGTTGCTGAAATGCGGGTAAGCAGCAGGACGATATGGAATTCATTCAGAAACTTAAAAAACAGACACAATTACAACAGCACACTTGCTCACACCACTGTTGCGGAAGGTTTGGAAGGAAGGAAGGAAAGGTACCTGCCGGTTGGTTGGAAGGAGGGCTACCTTGTCAAACTCCCGAAGAAGGGAGACCTAAGCCTTTGCAAGAACTGGCGTCGAATCATACTCTTATCGATCCGAGCAAAATATTAAGCCACATCGTCCTGAAAAGACTAAAGGATGCTCTGGATTCAAAATTACAACCGGAACCGACTGGCTGGCTTTAGGAAGAACAAATCATATGTGGATCAGGTTGCAACGCTACGCATCATAGGATAGAGCATAAAATGGCAGCCACCTTGATCTCTACCTCGGCTTCATCGACTTTGAGAAGGCCTCCGACAGCGTCAACCAAGAAGTAATTTGGCAACTGCTTCAGCACTACGGTTTTAGCGCCACAAACCTTTATCAACCTCATTCAACAGCAGCTACGTGATGAAGATGATGCCACATGCCAAGTGACTCACAATGGAAAGCTCAGTGACGCCTTTGAAGTGAAGACAGGTTGGTAGGTAAGACAAGACTGCCGCCTACTATCACAGATGATCTTCCTGATTGTGATCGACTGGACTGGACTGGATCATGTAGCAAACCGTGAGGAGCTGTGAGAAGAGGGGCATACGCTGGCTGGACCAATGGAAAGGCCCCTGAAGAAGATTTGGATCTCGCCAGTGACGATTCATGACTAGTGTCGCACAAGCTTGAAGATCTACAGGCGAAAACCAACAGGTTGACAGAAGAGGCAGGGCAGGGTAGGGCAGCGAGGATGGGACTTCTTTCAAGTGAACGTAGAGAAGACAGAGGTGGTGAAGATACCCAACCAACAACAGAATCAACAACAAGCACCAATCACCATCAACAGAAGAAATCTAAAGGAAGTAGTCTCTTTCACCTACATACCTAGGCAGCATCGTTTCAACTACAGGTGGCGGCAGCGGCGGCACAGATGAGGATGTCAAAGCTGGTTGGGATCGGAAAGACAGCAAGACAGGCGTTCATTATTCTGAAAGCAGTGTGGAGATCTACTGCACTCCACTGCACTCAACATAAAGAACAGGATCCGCTTTTTCGACAGTAATGTCAAGTAAGTTAATGCTTCTATGTGATGGTTGAGGGACTTGGCGCGTTATGAAAAGCATTTCCAACAAACTACAGACATTCATCAACAGCTGCCGCCTACACTCACTCGATGCTGAAGATCAGATCAGATCAGATGGGCAGAAAGAATAAGGAAGAAGGAACTCTGGCTGGTTGGTTGGCTGTCAACGAACCATCCAGGAACCCATCGCCCAACAAATATGCAGAAGAAAGTGGAGATGGATTGGATTTGGCATACACTGAGAAGACCGATTGGGGGCATCACGCGCCAGGCCATGCCGTCGAGTGGAATCCACAAGAGAAACGATAAGTTGGACGTCCTTAGGAGACCGTGTGAAGAAGAAATGAAAGGTTATGGGCAGCAGTGCAGTCAAGTTAAAAGGGCTGCAGAGAACAGAGTGCAGTTATGGCGTGCTATTGAAGCACTGTGTTCCACTAGGAAGCAAATAATAATGTGAGGATTTCAGTGTCACTATATTGGGTGACGTTGAATGAAGTTGGAAAAAACGATTGATTTTGTGTGCAGATTCGAAGTCGAATATTCAGTAGCGAACGTATGCACTGATGCTCTTAATTTGGTGCTAAGGGATTTTTCTAGAGGTTAGAGAGTACATACGTTTTGATATCTGCTGTTTCAATCATTCCTTTGGTTGGATATGTGCTGTCCGAAGGCGTGTCTATCCTAAAATGTCCACCGTTGTATGCATTTAGTTGTTGAGTTACTGCTTTTTCAGCCAAATATGTTTTCTACTTATCCAATTATCAACTTATAGGTTTCAATGAAGAAGAAATTTCCAGATGTTAGTAACCTAGTTTCAGAAGAACTTTCCTTAATATCAGTAGGTTATGAATCAACTAAACTTCTGTCTTCGACCATCAGAGTGCCAGCAGGAACAATATATCAAAGCCATCTAGTCAGTCTCAAAATTTCGAATTATGTCAGAATTTAGAACTGCTGAGAAGAAACGTAGAAAGTTTGGTAAGCAAGCGCGATCTCATTATCAAATATTTACATACCATGGACAAGCAACAGCGATATTTGCCAGCTTCATTACCATCTCATAAGTTGGTGAAATTAGTTACATAATCATGTTTTTCAGGAAGGTTACTGAAGCAGTTTCGTCTTTAGATTCTTTGTTATCTAGCGAGTCTTTAGACATCCATGTTTTCAGTACAGAACAACTCAAACAGTCATTATTAAGTACGGTAGGTGTTTCGTGAATTCTAATTATTGATATGATTTGTAGGAAAATGACATCAAAAATTTGGCAAATTTTAACCGGGACATGGTGCTTGCAATACGTCAGCTCAACAAAGCCCATAATTTGCTTGAAAATAGTCCATAGAAGCCTTCTCTAGAGCATGAACCTTATGAAATGTAGGCGATTATTTGATTTGGAAATTTTCCATCACTTGCGTGAACTGTTAAATGACTTCACTGACAAAACCGTACGTGTGGTTTTGAAGTTTTGTTGGTTCCATACTTATGAGCAGCGATTTTTGTATGCGAAACCTCTAGGTCCTGATTACTTTTTTTAGTTTCACTGTATTAGGTTACCGTGTTTTGTAAAACCACTTATTCAAATATTGTTCATTTCTTATTTATGGAAATGTGTGGCTGATATCGTTAAGTAGTTTAGTTTATCAGTCTTTGGTGAGGTTAAAATAATCGAGAAAAAATTGCTGAAGTGTTTTAGTAGGATAAAATCAGAAAACAGTTATCAGATTAGCATAAAACGAAGATTCAGCTTTGTAGTAAAACGAATCGTTGAAGTACCTACATCACTGATGTGTCTGAAAATTTGTGAAATCGGTGTCTTGATTGCTTAAATAGAATTAGACACTTAACTTTCAATCAGAGGGCCACAAGTTAGAATCCTGTTCATTCCGTCTGAGTTTGCGCCATCCAGAGGTGCGTGTTTGGCTTAATGCAAAGTGCATAATCTTGTATTTAGTGTCTGAGTTTCTTAACATACCATGTTAACTGTTCATGTAAGTGACCGATATTGGTGTCATCCAAATACTTTCTTCATACGTTGGTTGGTCATTGTTGAGTAACCAATATTATTTTGTACAATCATAAATTGTGACTGAATTCTATGGCTCATTGGTTTAGAAAAATGACTTTCAATCAAGTGGGTCACGGGTTTGAACTCCGCCACACCTACCGTGGTTTGGGCAACCAGATAGCATCATTTGGCCTCACACAATATGTATGGCTTGTTGCCTGCTGCAAGGATATGTACAAGGTTGCTGTATGGATTTCGATTCGGTTTTGACGAGGCTAGATGACTTACCATTGCGGTGCAATTTGGTAAGTGTTAGTTGGTTAGAAGTGACCGACAAGAGGCCCTGGACCCAGGTTACATGGGTGTTGGAACACCTAAAAAAGGTGTATCTGCAGTCTCAAGTGGATGGCTGTCTCTTCATGAAGTACCTGATTACATGTCGGTTTCCAAATTCTGTCCATATTCCATCAATCATTTTCATACAACCAACTAACACCAATCATGGTTCACTACGATGACGAGTCTTCTGAATCGGTGGCAGCATTACAAAATGAAGTCCCACGTGGAATCAGCGGTGTAGTTTCAGGAGATTAGAGGTCATGGTTTTGTTGGTTTGAATATTTAGAAGTGGTAACAGGACAAAAAGTTGAGGCTGTCGGAGATATATTGCTTTCGACTGGAGTTGGTAAGAGAAAACAGCTGTAAAGAAGGGTGGTTACGGAGGGATGGGCTTTATTGATTTGGCTCTCTGCCCGCATCTAACTTTCTAACATAAAAAGTAGATTTCACAATTTTCAGCCTGATGAATTTTTAATAATGTCTTTCTCAAAGACACCTGTAGGTTAGGGTAGATATCACACTGATTCGTGGAAGAATGAGACTAACCTAATCACTCAGACTGAAGTATTTCCTTATCAGGTTTTACTGTTTGTTTCTGATTTGTCTTATCGCCGTCATTCTTTGTGCACTTATCCTTAGCCTTAGACTGTACCAACCTGTAACCAAATCTATGAAAAATAGTAATCAGTAGACAAAAGATTCAAGTGTGATCTAAAAGTAAATTTTAGGCAGTGTTTTTTCCTATACTATTCCATACTTCTTGAGCGTGCCCAGCGACAAACTTCATACCATAATATTAGTAAAACCTACTACCAACTAGCTATTGTTCATGCAACAACAACAGACTGCTGATTAAAAAAACCTGAAAATGTTAAAATTTCAGATCGTACAAAGACACTCAATCCGTTAAAAGCCTATAAGATCCGAAATCACATCTATGAATGTAACACATACGACTTGGCAATTTGTCTCCCGAGTTAAACACTAGGAAAATCATTACTAAGTGTCCTACACACGTAATGAGTGGGGATTTGTGAATGTTTGAGGTGGGTTTCTGACTGTTGGAATGTAAGTGGTTGTTTGAGGAGTGGTGTGCATGACTGAGGTCATTGGAGACTGGTGATTGAAGTCGGTTCGTCGCACTGACGAGTTGACTTACTTGGGAAGGTGTGTCAGGCCTGATGGGTAGGTGGTTGGGTGTGGGAACGAGGGAGTGATGGGGTGAGGGGGCGGGTGAAGAGATGTGGACTGTAATTGGGAAGACTTGTTTGGCTTTTAAGATGTGAAAGATGTGTCAGTGTCACCTAACCTGGTTGTGTTAATCTCTTCGGTTGTGATGACTACGTGTTGTGGTCGGAAAGAATGAGTGGCCAACAGTCTGTTGGAGGTGTTACTCTGCGACCATTGGTGAGGATGCGAACCAGCGTGAGAGGATTTGTAATCTCTCAGATGCACGCTGTCAACTTGTGATCGGAGGTGTGAAGCTTGGAAAGCCGTGTGGAATCAGACAACAGAGGTGAGTTGAGAATACTCATTAATGTCAGTGAATGGATGTTTGGTGTGTTTGTTATGAGACAGAGATGAGATGATGGTGTGTGTTGTGAATGTTGAGTATTCCGGCTTGTAGATTTCGTGGGGTACACGTGGGAGTGTTTTTCAGGAGAGATGGTATGTGACGAATTGTTGGTGGAGAGGTGCACTGTTTTACTGGATGGGAGTCTGTAGCTGTGTGTGTGTGTTTGTGGCGTTAGATTGAAGGTATGTGTGTAGAGTGTAAGGTATCTGGAGAGTCGTGAATGCTTTATATATGTAGTGTTGGGGCACTCGCCGACTGATTTGGTTGTTGACAATATGGAAGTGATGAGTTTAAGGAGTATGCGTGATATTCGCAGATGTTTCAGTGGGTATGTCGAGTTGCTTTAAGTATGTTTATATTTATATTGATATGGATTTCGTGTCCGGCTGCATGTTTTGAGTTTCTGGTATGCGCTGTACTTAATACCGCAGTGAAACTGCTGAAAGAATGCTTGGGTTGCTGTAGAATTTTATTAAGTATTCTTTGTAGGAAAATTTCCATAAGGTAGGCGTTTTTCTCTTGTTTACTCTGAGGCTTGACTCATGGAGAGCTTGTATGTTTATTTTTAAAGCAGTGTTTATGTTTGTGATGGGTGAACTTTATGTTGAGCCATGTATAGAGTAACTGTTATTATTAGCCTGGGATGTGGGGCAGTGTTTCGTAATTTATGGGAGATTTAGTGAAATCTCTGAAGATACATCATTCGTTCAGGTTTCTTCACTTTTTCTAAATTTTAAAATCTTTATTTTCTCACCTTGTAACTATATTCCTTTGTTTAGATCTTTGGAATTGATCCTGACATTATTTTTCGTTTATAGAGTTGATTTCTATCTAGTGTTGCAAAATGTTGTCACTGGTCAATGCACGCTTGTGCAGGAGGATCTGTAGCTCGTTGTATCCGGAATATGACTTTGAGACATTACCATTTTGTTTGGGATGAGGTCTTATTCTTTTTTCACTGAAAGGGTATTACTCACAACCTTCCATACTCTTTTTTATATAGTCAGTGAATCTCCTTTATTTTAAAATTCGCTATTTTGCTAGCTTCAAAAAATTTTCATTCATCTTTTGTAAGACAATTTTATTAGGTTACATTTTGGAAGTTTTATACAGCAGTATGTATTTGCTCTATGGCAATACTCAGATAGCTCTAAATATCTGAATCTCTTGTATTGTGATTTAAAACTCTTCATAAGCTAGTGACTGTAATTGATCTGACTTATAGTTTACACCACAACTATGTAGTAGCTAATTATTGATGCACAGATATTTTACACCTGATGACCTGGTGATATTTTGTCATTGTTGCATATTCTGGACAGTAGAGGTTTATGGCCGCATCACATTACTGATGAAAACATCAATGAGGACTAGGTGACTGTAATGCCGTAAATTGGATATCTTCCTAAAGTCAAGTGTTTTATTGGTATTTTTTTCAGCAGTCTTACGCTATTCTCCGGTGTCTTATAGGTATGCATATAACATTGGAGCTGTCAACGTTATTTCTATTTATGCAAGCATACACTGTATTAACATCAACTTAATTTGCAAGAATAAAAAACCATGTATAAAAGAGAATATGTTCTTGAATAAAATTTATTTTCATAAGACTGATTCTTTTTCAACTAAACATTTTTTAATCTGCTGTTGGTGTTGTTGATCTAAGTCTGTAAATGTTAGATTTCCACTCTCCGTACCTAGAATACTTGTTAAAGATGAGCATAATTTCAATTCAGTGTTAAGTGAAAATCCAACAGTTTGATTTTTTGTGAAATTAATAGTAAAATCATTCTGTACAGGTTTAACATTTGTGTCAATCTGATTTATTGTTTGCATAACAGAATGCGATATAGTAACACTAGTTGTTGCAGGTGTTACCGCTATTGGATTGCTATTTATATCATAATTTATATCTCTGTGACGTGATAAGGAATATGAACCTCTTGATTCTGGTTTAATAAATCGTCTTCTCCTGTTCGGCGAAGAATCCAGTTTAGGCAAGATCACATATTTCGTCTCAGTACCATTTGTTGACAATTCATGATGATTATCTGATTGTTCATGTTTATTATGTTGATTAGTAATCGGTATAATTGTTACATTGGGATTTTTGCATTTTGTCCAATGATTTATGTTTTTTCTTGATGTTTTTCCTGCTGTTGCTGATGCTGTTGGTGTTGTGGTCGTCATAGTTATTGGGGTGAATAGCTTTTCTATACCACCTGTCTTTGCACTGTTGTCAGTAAGGGATTTTGTGCTTGAATGGATTTTTATTCTGGACTTATGCATATTGCTTTCGTGTTCTTCACAATTGGTTGGTCGATAATGATTCACGCTGTCAGTCCTTTTCTTTTTTCGTGGATATTCAGATGGGTTTACTACCATTGTTTTGTCTCGAGAATAGTATTCCAGTGAGCTGTTATGATAAAAGTATAAAAGAAAAGCGAAATGCTATCGGACACGTTGTATTAAAAGTCTGTTGTCTACAATTATTAAAAGCATGTATTTTCCAATGAAATAGACTTACAAGGATAGGCTCTAGTGATACATTCTTAACGGAATCAACTGTAGTTTGTCCAGAAGCTGTGGTACGTGACCTTCAACTAGCACGTTTCAAGTCCGAATGTTGCACCAGTTACAAGAGTTTGGACAGCCGTATAATATCACTAGCTCTCACATTAGATACATCTGACTGCCTAGTCTTCATACCTGCGCGTGATGCTGATTTCCATTTTTGTGGTAGAGAGTATCTATTTAGTTATGAAGTATCAATGTGCATTGAATAAGATTTTGTGTCAGAGAGCATGGAAAAACAGTCTTACATGCAGTGGTGGCTAGCAGTGAAGTTCAGAACGCGCGTTTCGTCCTATTTGAGACTCGTCATTATGAATATCATTATGAATATACGGTTGGATCAAGGCATCCACATAGAAGCCAGTCTACCGACAGAAGTCGAGCATTTCGGCCCTGTATAGCAACGGGAAATTGAAAGTACCAAGAACTACCTACTAACATTTTATCTTGGATTGACTACTAACTGTCTGATATGTAATTCATTACTATTTAGACTGAGACACAATAAGTTAATAAGCGTTAAGCGTTTCCTTTTTCAAGAAGGGGAAGGATTAGCGTTCTCTCTCAGTATAATTTACAGTCGTAACTAAAACTGGTTGATTAATTTTTTTTATTGTCTTCCTCCAAGAGACTACAAGCTACAGGTGACACTCTTAACTCTATCACGGGTTGTAATGGTGTGTAAATGGACTAACTTGTGTAATAGCCTGGGGAGTTTTTCATAGCATGGTTGCTGTTTGCAAACGCCTATTTTATTTTGAAGTGTAATTTAAGCTGTAAATTGAAGGTAAGAATATAATCCAATTTATTCACTATTATAAAATTCTTCAGTCATCATCATCATCATTATCAACATAGGACCAGCACATCAAGTAAAAAGGTAGTGAGGTGAAGGATGAAGATAAGTGAATGCAGTCAAAAGAAATATAAAGTACGAGAAGAAAGGAAAGAGGAGTGACAAAATAGTGAGATTCGGTATAGCGTTGTTAAGATGAGGATGATGTGTGTATACATCTGCGCCACTGACTTCGGTTCTGGGCCATATCACCTAGGGTCTCCAACAAGCACTGGTTCCTCTTGTCCCGTGGACCACAACCACCTAGTCTACATCGTCCTACATGGCTTAAACCAACAGTCAGAGACTTCATACATTGGTGCCATGTTTTAGTGTGGCCACCTCGGGCCTTTTTCCAGCCTGGACCCACCTCAGCCAACATTGTGTGACGAGGCAATCGGTGACTAGGCATACGTAGTACGTGTCCCAACCAGCCATCTCAGTCGATGAAGGTTCACAACCTCGTCAACTGACTTACCTCTTCTCCCAAAAACTCTACACCTGACTTCTGCATTACTCACATGGTGACACCACGGAATACGTCCTATACTACGGAGGCAACGGTGGTCAAACACCTGAAGCCTTTTTGTATCCTCTACTTTCAATGGCCAACACACTCAACCACTTCACTCACTCTCTATTGTTAGCCGCGGTACCGCTGAAGACCAGTCCTGGAGCAAAAATTTGCATTTGGGTGGTGAAAATCGCATCTCAAACATTCTCAAATTCCCACTCAAAGTGTTCAGAAGACTCTGCATCTTGTCAGCGTCTTCACCTAACAGGACTATGTCATCTGCATATTCTAGGTGTAATGAAAATCTCCTTGCAATTAGATCAACCTCTTTGTGATCAAGTGACGAGATGGAGACCTCCATAAGAATATCTATGATAAAATTAAATAAGAATGGGGATAGTGGGCATCCTTGACGGACACCACTTGATGAGTATAGCTCCCTGGACAACTCGCCATAGGCTCTAACATGCCCACAAGTGTTCGAGTAGAGAGCTTTCAATAAGGTGATGTACTTACTAGGCATGCCTTTCAGTGAGAGACATTGCCATAAGACTTCTCGATCAACGGAGTCAAATGCCGCCTTCAGGTCGAGAAATACAGCTATTGTCGGGCGTCTGTAAGCATGCCTATGTTCCAGGACCTGGCGCAGTGTGAATATTTGGTCGATACATCCACGGCCAGGTCTAAAGCCTGCCTGGTTTTCTCGGGCTTGCTGTTCCCGAGCTCCACTCAGGCGTCGGAGAATTATAGAACGAAGGATTTTGGATACTATGTTCGTCAGGCTGATTCCCCTGTGGTTATCACAAGAGGACTTCTCGCCTTTCTTGAAGACTGGGATGATGAGTGACTTAGACCAGTCGGAGGGGATCGTATTTGATTCCCATATACTGGCTAACATTTCCGTTAAAAAATTCTTCAGTACTCTGTATAAACTTGGAAACCTTGTATCATATGAATAAGGGTTTTTTCACTATAGTAGATTCAAATTGGGTTCTTTGCTTACAGATATTTTGTGTATAACTATCATGAAAACGGAGGTGTCCACATTTGATTTTAACCAGAATTTCACTATCTACAATCTGCGACTACTTCTTGCAACAGGTAGTAATGTATAGGAACTCCTTTCATGCACCAAGTATTTATTAACTTAGATAACTGAGTTGATTACTAACTATATGTACTTGATGCTATGCAGGTTATGCGGTTTGCAACTATCTTAGGAATTAGTATAATTGCTTGTATTATACTATATCTTAAGAATTGTTGAATACGTTCGTAGTAGGGTAATATGTCAGTCATTGGTTTTCAGTAGTCACCACTGATTATATTATGTGGTGACGCATTATTTTTAGTTGATAAAATTAAGTTTGCTTGAAAGACATATCTAGATTTAAGGTACATGCAAAAAGGGTATATCAGCAGTGTGTTGACAATTGCCGACATAAGTAATCAATGAGTATGCTAAGCATATCTACTCATCCAAGTTGTTTGAGTCCATTGGGTCGTACCGAGGTCTTTGGTAGCACGGAGTGGAATCAACTTTTGTTATTATGGAAGTTTAATGGGCTCAAAAGGGATGTTTATTATCTAGAGACGTGTCATTTGTTCTAAAACGATATGTGATTCAGCTGTGATGCTTACATTTCAACTGTTTGATCAATAGCTCCATATGTGTGTCATATGTCCAGGTTTAGAGAGCAGAATGGGATAACATCTATTGCGCATAAAATGTTTCGTTATCTGATACACAGGTCTGTACATGGTCGGAATCAAGATTGAGGGGATTTGGTTTTATGCTAGATTCATTTCATTAGCACTTATAATTTCTTTGGGGATGGTAACCGTGAAAAATACTAGATTCTGACTTCATTGTTTCTTCTCAAGATAACACTGTTGGTGCGGCAACATGAACTGTCTTGTTAATTGAGTTCACAGTGGGAATACGAAATTGAGGGATATTATTTTTGAAGATAACACTTTTGTGAAGCAATATCCTCCCCTATTTATCATAACTAACTTTTACAATCAAATGAGAATCGTAAATTCTGTTCAAGTACTGGCATTTCGTGTTACTTTCAAACGAAAGGATTCAATAATGTACAAAACCTACTTCATGTGTTGGTTGACTGACGAATTCTTCTTCTTCAAGGATTCTTGAAGTTTATCTAGTTGAATTCGTAGAATTTGAAGCTCTTTAAGATAATTTTTTGTCTTCATGTCGCATATTGGATTACCACATTTAATTTTGTCAGTCTGCATTTTTGATAGATTGACTTGTTCAGGCAGTCGTGGTGCATGCTTCATAGTCTAAATATTTAGGGAAAAGTACATTGTTTTAAAATATTTTGGTGATTCAGTGTTTACCTAGTACACTTGGTTAACTTTCATCCTGTAAAACTTTAATCCCTAAGATGATGAGAATTCAACGATTGTTTGATTTAGATAAGGTTATCATTTACCGAGAATTATTATTACTATATTATTATTTGTCCCTTGGGTTCCTAATGGAACATAGGGCTCCAGTAGCACGTCTCCAGTGCACTCCGTCCTCTGAAATCTTTTGAACCTGGCTCCACGAGAGCCCAGAAGCTCTCATTTCCTCTTCGCACGATCTTCTCCATGTCATCCTCGTCACCGACGCCCAACTTGTCGTTTCCCACCGGGGTTCCACTTGAGGGACTGGCCTGACGCGTGATGTCCCCAGTCGGTCATCTCAGTGCATGCCCAATCCATTTCCACTTCCTTCTGCACATTTGTTGAGCTATAGATTCTTGGTTGGTTCGTTGCCAGAGTTCCTTGTTGCTCTTTACCGAGAAATGTTTGCTTTATTTTTATTATAGCCAACCGTAATGATAAGTATGACTTTTGCTTAATCACAGCATGTTGACAATTCTCTTCACTTGCAATTTTTGCAATATTTAGAGATACTCATGGTTTCTATTTCTTATAAAACAATTATGAGTTACATTCAATTCCCCTAGGACGAATAAAAGATTTTCGATAAAATTCATTAGTGGTGAGTGTTATCAATAGAAAATTTTGAATAGTAAACAATGACCAAAATTTAACGAATTGGAAAGTTTAATGAAATGTTTTGAGTAGAGTGTTTCCTGTTTTAGACACATTAAATTACGGGCTAATATTATTCAAAAAAGTACAAACCAGATGTGACTGGAAAAATGTTTCTTATTCGTAATCTGTCGTATCAATCACCGTCATTCTCCAGACTTTTAGGTTTGATACGGCAGTACCACTATTCCTGTTAGACTCTGACAAGATGCAGGGTGTTTAGTGATAATTTACGAATTTTCGAGATACTTTTCTGATTATCCCTATGGAAGTAGTTGTTTGTCGATTGATTTGCATGAATGAGTCGTCCAACGATCGAGGGTGATGTGGTTGAAGGTGCTAACCACGTTTGAGATCTGTTATCTCTCTTTTTCAGTGTATTTCGATGAAAAATCCAATCTTCTCAAACGATTTGGTTAGAAATAACCGAAATGCATAACAAAGGATTTTCAAGTGGCTAAGGACCCTGAAGAAAAGTCGGAAATTGTCTTTCTTTTTGAACGGATGATTGTTGAAAATATTGGTGTGAATTGGAGTATTTTGTGCTGTTATACAATAATGCCATTTCTCATGTTCATATTGCTGACTTTTGAAGTGCACCAGTATTAAGGTGGAATACACATTCAGATATAACGCGGTAATAATGTCTTTCAGAGGATATGAAAACTTTATTTTTGACCGTCTATGAATACTTGGAACCTCGCCTGCTTAACTAGTTCACTAGTTACTAACCGGTCCTAAGCTTGGGTGAAGAGGGAAGGTTGGGCACAGGGCTACCAACCCTACCCCATAAAACAAACCTAACCGCTAAAGAAACTTCAAAGCACAAGGAAAATATAAAAAATCAAACAAAATTATTCTTCGCTGGAATCGGAGAGGCGAAATGACGCCAGTTGGTGAAAGCCTTCGGGAAGCCAATTGGCCGATGTGTCTTCTCTCTCTCGATGAAAGCGAAAGTAAACGTGAGGACATAGATTGTCTGCACCATGTTTGAACCCAGCAAGGCAGCCTAGATTGCAAAGGAGATGAGAAGGTATTGCATTGAAGTGCTTGGAATTTGCGAAAGCAGGTGGAATGGAAGTGGACTCTTCAAACTGTCAACTGGAGGGTCTATTATCTACTCCGATATTGTCACTCAGACGACAACCACGAGCACACCGAGTTTTGAAGTGACTATCATGATGTCCCCAACAGTATCGAAGGCTCTCATGCAGTGGGAACCGATCTCCTCCAGCATCAGGATCATGACAGCAAGATTCAACTCAAAAGGAAGGAGAGTCACAATCATACAACGCTATGCTACGCACCCACAAATAATTGAGCAGATGAAGAGAAGAAGAAGGAATTCTACAGACAACTGCAATCAACACTGAACAAGACGTCAGTTGGCGATATCGAAATTCTAATGGGCGACATGAATGCCAAACTGGGGGCAGATAACACAGGAATAGAACAAACCATCGGTCGAGAAGCGCTAGGTAAGGTGATGAACGAGAATGGAGAATTGTTTGCAGAATTCTGTGCATTCAACGATTTGGTGATTGCAGTGAGGCAGTGTGTTCAAGCACAAGGATATTCACAAGGCAGCGACATGGATTTCACCAGATGGACACACTAAAAATCAGATCGACTTCATCTCAATGTGAAGAAAGTGGAGACGCAGTCTACTTAACACAAGGTCAAGAAGAGGAGCAGATGTAGGTTCAGACCACTATCTAGTGCAAGGAAGCTTCCAAATCAAGTTAAAAGCCTTCAAAGAAGCTGGTGATAGACCTCAATTCAAGTACAACACTCGGAAACTGAAGGATGAAACTACAAAGGACATCTTCACGCCAGTCAGTCATCAAGACAAAATGGGAGATATCGAGTAACATCCCTGAAGAAACCTATGTGGAAGAACACTGGAAGTCTTTGAAAGCTATGAGGAAAGAATCCTGTATAACCGTATTAGGAAGGAAGAAGAAAGAAGATAAGGAATGGATCTCGATGGACACATGGAAGCTGATAGAGGAGGGAGAGGAGGATGGTGAAGCAGAAGATGAACCAGTGCAAGGATGAACAACGAGAAGAGGATCTGAGTACAATGTATAAAAAACTGGACAAAGAAGTGAGGAAGAGTGCGTGGAAAGACAAAAGAAACTTCTACGAAACACTGGAAAGTGAAGCAGAACAGGCTGCAGGTAGGAGAGATAGAGACCTGACAACATTGTATCAAATAGCCAGGTTGCTATCTGGGAGGAAGAGATCAACACAGACGAAACCAATAAAAGATGATGAAGGAAATCTAGTTACGAAAGAAGAGAAACAGAGGAAACAATGGGCTGACCACTTCAAGAAGCTCTTGAATCGACCACCACCTGCAGTTCGTCAGATGCACTGAGAGCAGACGCAGAGACGACAGCGGACATGCTCACATCACTATTGTAGAAGGTTTACAAGTAAGGAAGTAAAGGTACCTGGTGATTGGAAGAAGGGTTACCTTGTCAAACTCCCGAAGAAGGGAGACCGCAGTGTTTGCAAGAACTAGCTTGGAATCACACTCCTGTCCACCCGCAGGAAGCAAAATATTAGGCCACATCATCTTGGAGAGACTAAAGGATGCTCTGGATTCAAAACTGCGACCGGAACAGGCAGGCTTTAGGAAGTACAAATCATGTCCGGACCAGATTGCCACGCCACGTTAAGCATCATCATAGAACAGAGTATAGAATGGCAGTCAACCCTTTACCCCAACTTCATCGACTTTGAAATGGCTTTTGACAGTGTCGACCGTGAAGTAATTTGGCAGTTGCTTCAACACTATGGAATACTACAAACCTTTATCAATCTCATTCAACAACTATATGAAGACGCCACATGCCAAGTAATTCAGAATGGGAAGCTCAGTTCATTGACGCTTTTGAAGTGAAGACAGGAGTGAAACAAGGTTGCCTACTATCACCCATGATATTCCTGGTTGTGGTGGACTGGATCATGCAACAAACAATGAGGAGCTGTGAGAAGAGAGGGATACGCTGGACCGCGGAAAAGAACCTAGAAGACTTGGATTTCGCTGGTGACTTGTGTCTGATGTCACACAAACTTGAAGATGTACAGGGGAAAACTAAGAAGTTGACAGAAGAGGCAAGGCAGGGCAGCGAAGACGGGCTTCAAGTGAATATAGAGAAGACAGAGGTGATGAAGATACCAAATCAACAACAAACTCCAGTCACCATCAACGGGAGAAACTTAAAGAAAATAGTCTCCTTCACCTACCTGTGCAGCACTGTTTCAACTACAGGCGGGACGGACGAGGACGTTAAAGCCAGGATTGGAAAAGCGAGACTGTCGTTCATTAACCTGAAACCAGTGTGGAGATCTTCTGCACTCAGCATATGGAACAAGATCCGGATTTTTAGCACTTATGTCAAGTCAGTGCTTCCATGTGATGGTTGAGAGACTTGGCGCGTTACGAAAGGGATTTCCAACAAACTACAGACATTCATCAACAACTGCCTACGCCGGCTCGTTACTGAAGCTCAATTGTCCAGAATAGTAAGAATAAGCAACAAAGAACTGTGGTTTGAGACGAACCAACCAAGAATCTATAGCTCAACAAATATGCAGAAGGAAGTGGAAATGGATTGGGCATGCACTGAGATGACCGACTGGGGACATCACGCATCAGGTCAGTCACTCGAGTGGAACCCCGGTGGGAAACGACGAGTTGGGGTGTCGGTGCCGAGGATGACATGGAGGAGATCATGTGAGTAAGAAATGAGAGCTTCTGGGCTCTCGTGGAACCAGGTTCAAAAGTTTACAGAGAAGAGAGTGAAATGGAGGCGTGCAAGTGAAGCCATATGTTCCATTAGGAACCCAAGGGACAAATAATAGTGGATAATTGGAGTACCTACATCGGAATACATGCGTTGGAGCAATTGCATGTCCAGCTTAGGTTATGTTGTCGAACTCATAGTTTCTTTCCCTGTATGCGATGATGAAATTGAAATGTGTATCATTGTATCGATTGAAAGTATGATCAATTTGGGAAACTGATGCATTTGGTATTACCGTACAAAGTAACCTGGACAAATCCTTTACTGATATGAGTAATATCTGTAGTCATATTAAGTATTCTAAAGTAGTCGAAATACGAATATAGATCACTTGGTAAACACAATTTTAAGTTCCTGAGGCATGTTTTTGTTTTATTGGTAATACATTACATGTTAACGTCTGGTCGGTTCTTTTGTTACTTAGGAGTAACGCTAATTAAAAAATTTACACCCAGCTGGCTTTTGTATTTTGCGACTTTTACGGTTAGTGCTTTTTGAGTCGATTGTTGAGATAAGCTAATGTTTTGCATAGTTAAAAATGTGCTTAAGCTTTTTCACCTCTGACTTACCGAAGTGAATCGACCAAAGCAAGCATGTTGATTAAGTTTCGTTAATTTAGGTTTTGCATACCAATAAACTGTGTATTCAATCAGCAAAAACACAGTACAAATAAGCATTCCACAAACCAGTAGTATGAAAGCACTGATGAAATTTTTAACTCCTAATGTCTTATTGGCATTTCCCACTGCAGCGTCTTTCTTACATGAACCTGTTTGCCAAAATTTTTTCCAGCGTTGCAATTTACCTGAAAAAGAATTGAAAGTGTAAGTCACCCAATGATTAAGTAGACAATATATACCTGAATGTTAACAAAGGAGTCATCAGTGGTCGTTCGTAGATTATTGAAATCTCTAGGTCAACATGTGAAAGACTTAACGGAGTATTGGAAAGTGATGGTTATCCACTTACTACTGCGATAACTGCATTATTTTTAGCGATCTGTCTCTATAAACTTCATTGTGAATTAGAGTTAGCTGCTTTAGTTGTTCAGAAGTTGTGTATTATCTAAGATAAGTGTTTGTTGGTTGAACACACTAGTCTGAATAGTAATGAATCCATCAATGTAAGATATAGCTTTTATCCATATTATCCGTAAACTCTTGACATAAATAATCAAGTGTGCATAGGTCAAGTTTATCCGTGATATCAAGGTTGAACTTTTTAAAGCTATGTAATTCTGTTTAAGAATTTCATATTTCTGTCTTCGTTAGCCACTTTATATACCTGTTGTTTCAGTTTTATATATATATATATATATATATATATATATATATATATATAGTGATGTGTATTTAACTACTCCAGTATAACCCTGTTTAACATTCAGGTTCTGACTTTGAGAACAAAGCTTTGCTGCGCTTCAACAAAGATGGATTACTGCAAAGGTCGTGTAACAATACACCCCAATAAACCACTGAAATTCTCTGGACTTTAAAGTAATATGGACTTGTCTTACGCTTAGATGGTAATGAATCCAGTTTAGTCACAAAATCCACGCTTGTTTACTAATTTGTAAAGCATATTTCTTAGGATGATGCCTAACCATTGTGCTTTATTGGTCTTGATTTCGAGTATCAACTGCTCGTTACCAGTGAATAAGATTTATATCAAAATATATCAAAAAAATATTTTTTACTTAGTTCCGACAATATTTACACTGTTTACTACCTATCAACAAACAGCAGCTGATCAGATACCTCAAACCTATAATATATACAGATGTGAATGTGCCTTTTAAATTATTATCCTGAGTGTAATAATGATAAACATCATTGAAGAGGGAAATGGATGTTTATTTACCATTTTTCTGATAATCCAGTATACGTGAATTAACTTTAGTCAACCATCGACTACTCTTGGTAAAACCAATTCCATAACCAGTCATTGCGTATAAATTTCCAACTGTACGTAATTTACAACCTTCATCTTTCATTGCCCAATAATCTAATACATTTGCATCATATAAAAATGCATCAAGTTGCCTGTTTAAAATGGAAGAAAATATGGGTGTGATCAACGTTTTTTTAAATGCAAAAAGCTGTCTAAGTTAGGTAAAAGATTTGGTTTTGAGACTGATAGACTAGATAGTGAGTTGGAATGAAGTGTATGTTAAGAAAATTTCAAAGAAATGCAAACAGATTGATTCTAACTATAAGTAGTCTGTTTACACTCGCGTATGTTTCACTTTCATGAGGAAAGGGAAAAGACGAAATGGTAATCTGCTTTATGAAAAGGTAAAAGTTTGTTAGGAGTAAGTGGACGACCTGAACTTTAAAAAAATGCAAATTTCCCCTTCCAGTTATTTTTTTCACTGAGATGAGCAAATATTAAAAACACTGTTGTATGATTGGATCAGGTGGAGCGAAGATTGGTTTCCGATATTGTCAGTGAAGTAGACATGTACTCCATGTACCTCTCAGTCGGGGGTTACCCGTACATATCAGTATTTGAGAACGCCTTAGATGACTTAGCCTATCATATAAAAGTGTATGAGGTTACTACTTTGGGATTATTACATTTTGTATCCCTTTTAATCAGAGTATGTACAGTTCTCCTTTGACTTTACTTACCTTTTTAAAGATGTTCACGGCAATCCAAATAATTAGTAGACACTGATGCAGCTTATATAAGTACATTCACTAATATTCTCCTAAACGTTATTACCTTCTGTTAGCTAATCTTAGGTTTTCTGTTTTACATTTTACTTCTTTTTCTGGCGTTTACCTGGTTAAAAGAAAACAATTACCCAACTCAAAAGTTACAGAATGGGGATCTTTTAGACTAGTGTTTTTAAATACCATCAAAGGATATAAATGTTCTTACACTCAGTAAGCGGTTTGTTTAATGAAATGTAGTACAGAATAATCTGTGAAGAGATGATGAGTTTCAAAAATGCACCTTAACAACTCGACTGGGCAGTTTTTATTTCGTTTGGGTCTTTAATTATAATTCAATACTTATATCAGTGTATAAAACTTGAGTACTTGCTGTATTTTAATTTTCTTTACTTTTGAAGCGGTTTTATTCTACTTACATTTTCTTATGGTTTGAATACTTACATTTGATGTTTACGAATTTGTCAGTAAGTAGGCTTTACTATTAGAAAATTCTTTATTGAAGTGAATATGATTCATTTTCACTTAGTGTTACGTAAGGCGTATAACCATTCCATATAATTAATTATTTTGAACTGAATCCCAGTAACATTTGATTCTGACACTACATTTCACACAAAGCTTGTACATAGGGAATTCCCACAATGTGTAAATAATATTGATAAAGGATTATTATGTGAAATCCCACTCTTGTTAACACAAAATTAAACAACACGAATATGTATATGTAGAACCTGAAGAAGAAAAGAATACTTTTTATTTACTTCAAATATCTTTTGTATTATACTGGGAATTTTTAAGGGACTGTCAGTATTCTGTACTAGGAAAAAAAAATCAGACGTCAAATACAGAATCGTTTAATTCCCTCCAGTTATGCTCATTTTTGGTCATATTTTTTGGATGAATATACGAAAACAGGCGAACAGTTAGTAGTTGCTTCATCCTCGTTATTATTTTTCCAGTATTTCGTACTCTTGGATCCATTCAGCTTGAATATCTTTTAGTGATCAAACTGTTTCATATTTAACATTTTTAATCTTATCTTCACAATACAACACAAATACCACTCAGCCTCTTTTGCCGACAACTGTCCACATTCCCAAGTTGGTTGACAATCGGATTCAAATCGAAGTTCCTGTATGTGATTCCCTATATTGACGGGATGTGCATTGTGGAAACGTTCAAAACAAGAAAAAAAGCATGTGATAACTCCTGGTTTTCAATAGTTTTCCACCTAATACCACAGTAAGATGAAGACATTTTTCAATTTAACCTACTCGTTACAAGCTACTGAACTAAATAATCATTTTCCTAATGGAATATGTAAGATGAAGCCTTCCTTTTTCAAGTTGTTGCCAGTTAACAGTCTTTGGTATTTTTTGTCAGGGATGCCTAATTCCTAAGAATAACTCATAATTTATGTATATTATCATTGTAAAATTAAAAACCTTATTCTCGCGCCCTTTTTGCGCCGTGCAGTTAATGATACTAAACACTGATTGGTCCATTTTACACTTTAAATATACTGTTTTATTTCCCTGGCCAAGGCCATCTAAGAATGTATAAACGACTGAGCTTTCAGCTATTATGGTGTGGTTGATGCAAACACACTTTTAATCCCATCGTTTTCTGGTGTCAGCTGAATATCGAGTTGAGAAGTCATTGTTCTATCGGTAATTGTATCGCGTCAGAGCAGTGTATCGGTATATATACTGTGGATCATAACAGCTTTGCATAAGTTGATTAGACATCCGTGCTAAAGTTTGCACATTAAAGATGTTTCCTAATCTATAAATGATTTAAACGCTTTGTATCTGATGGGAGCTGCTAATTTCTTGATAAAACGGTTGTGTTAGACTCAAATTAGATTGTAGTTAAAATTGGCAAGTACCATCTTTTTTCTTGAGGCATAAGGTGGAAATAGATTACAGAGTTAATTGTTGTTTTAATTTCAAATCGTTGTATGCAAATTATAAAAAGGAGTTCATTAAGTTAACTTCTAAGTCTAGCCATATGATAATTTGATGTATCCTATTTGCCGATGTACTTGGAAATGATTTCACACATCCAAACTTCTTTCGTAACATCCGAGTTATTCGTTTATCATACTTATGACAATAGCAAAAGTGATGATCGTTTCTCTTTTTAAGTGGTCTTTCTTATACTTTTCTGCCACTGATTCCTTAAGATGGTGATACGTCTTCACATCTCAAGATTTAGTTGTCCCAGTGTAAGTGCACATCAATCCAAGTTTGTTAATGACGCATTTTTTTTGATGAAGCAGTAGTTGTAATTTTTGATGCAACTTAACACAGAATATAAATGGATTCTAGCTGCCTAGTGTTGATATTTGAGCCAAAATGTTAATTATGTAGACTTCAAGTTTCCATGTATTATAACTTAACTTACCCCGATTTCATTGCTCTAAGACCTTCTTCAACGCTGGATTTATTAAATTTACGCATGTATTTATGCATTTCTGGAAAATTGATCTTGATATTCTCCTCTGTCGCTCCACTTGGAATAGTCGCAAATCGAAATGGTGGCTTCACATTCCATGGATGTTGTAGCTGAAAGAAATAATTTGCATATTAAAATTAAAGTGCATTAAGTAAGGTTGGAGTTTCTCAAATCTGTATTCCGGTAGTGAACATGCAAATCACTGTTGAGAATCCCAAAAGCAATGTTTGCAATTTTGAGCATTGAAACCCTTTAAAATCATTTGCGTTTTGGCTGATTTCTCGCAAACAGAATCCGAGTTATCGCATCAACAGTTCTTATGCCTTTTTCATTCCAAGTAAAAATTATATTGCTTATCATGAAAATCGGTGTATTTTGTTATGAGATGTAGACTATGTACATCACCTTTCGTTGTCTTTTCTCTGATTTTAAAGAAATATCTTCATACTTTTATTGCATATCGCACTGAGATTATGCAAAATCCATAGGGTGATGATTTTTAACGGAGTGGAAAGAAAATCGAAATGATAGGAAGCAGCTAAGATGTAAATTAGAAATTTAGGACTTTGGCTACTGATGCAGAAGTCTCCGATTCACGCTATTACGTAGTAAAATCTTGCTTAATATTGTCTCCTTTTTAGACTACTCCCAGTGAACTAGTTAACCACTTTTCTTATAGTTGAGCAAGGTGCCGTCATTTGATATCATGTTGATCCAGTGAAATATACAGTACTAAAGGGAAATAAATATTCTCCACCTGTTTGACCTATTCACCTTATTTTGTCTCGTTATTTAGGCCGGACTTTATCCTGTCATTTCAAAGTAAGCTGACAAACAAACGTTCATTTAACTTTTCTGTATCGTCTTTTCGCAGCAAATAATTACAGCTGGACATGTCAGTTGACAAGTCCCAAATAGGCCGAAAAACGCGTCCTGGATTCCACTGCTATGCACAATCCATCAGTAATATCGGGATGTTGTATAGTTGATAGTTCTTATAATCATGATTAACATGATGGAAAAATGGATGATTGTGTCAAGTAGTCAAGTATTGACGATAACTAGAGAAAGCAAGAAGGAGAACATGACGGCTAAACCAATGATATTAGCAACAACGATTGTGGTTGTCATAAAAATGACATTAATATTAATGCTAATGCTAACCGTTTGCGCGATGGACGAGGGGAAAAGTTATCTTTGTATCGGCAAGTCATACAGATTACTAAGGCAACAAAAAAGATTGTACAAATTTCTTCAAAACACATTCGCTTGTCTTGTCCAGGTGAGTTCCTCTGGCTTCTGGGAGATGTAGAAGGGGAGCTCATAGAGCTTGGTGAGATTAAAAGGCATGCAATAAATCACCTTAAAGGCATTCATCACAAAATCATCCTCACCACTGAGAGAAAAAGTGGCTGTAGTATCACCTTTTTAGATGTCCCATTGATAAGAAAAACGGATGGAACTACTAAAGAAACCATCATACGATAAACGCACTAACATTATCACTTTACCTTGCAGTATGAACGAAATTTAATCAAATATTTGGTTCAATAAAGAGTTATCTGCTCATACGATACTTTCGATACAGGACTCCAAATTATCCCTGATCTACTCAGTGATAGTGAATGTCCAGAAGCGTTTCTAGCTGAAAATATGAACACGTGTAACATGAAAGAGTACTAATGGCCTCCTAGAATCCGCTGTTCCTAAGGCTGCAGTCTCAGAGTGACAACACTGATGAAAACGGTATAGAGCACCTAGAAAATGCAATTAGGAGATCATTTAATGCGGTAAAGTTATGCTGCATATTTTCCAATTAACCGATGCTGGGTCCGTGAATCAAACACAAACGATCTGACTTCACATGGTCTATGCGTATTTACCAGTTAAGCTTCTCCTGAGGAGTCAGTTGCATTAGAAGTACTGTTAAGCCGTTTCATTGTCGAAATAACAAACATCCTCTATCATGGTTAAGCAAAGGGCTAAGGAGGTCGATGTAAAGTTCAGTATTGTGTATGTTGTGTTCAAAAATTACTATTCCCTTCATTCATCTCACAGATGATCACTACTATTATGATTATTTTAACTATCATTATTATTGCAGTTTTAGCCATGATGTTCTCCCTCTAGTTGTCTCTAACTATCGTCAACGCTTGATTATTAGAAAAAATCATTCATTATCCCTTCTCATTTTTAACGATGAATTATGCAATACTGCCTAAAATTTCACAAATTATATTGTGTAATTATTCTTTACCTTAACTACTGTTTTAATTAGCTTGATTCATTGTCACCCCTTGATACCAAGAACACTAAAATATATTATAAGGATATCTAATGACCACAAAGTAGAATTCACTCGGTTTTCGTAACTTTAATTTTACATACTATGAACAACTAAAAACCTTTTGTGTAGTCTGATCATCATACTTGTAGAAAAATATGCAGCCATGATTTAACAATCAAGTGTCGTCAACTATCTCCTTCATTTATAAATTTAAAACAAGGCTGAATCTGAAGCAAAACTTGAGCACCAATCAGATTTAAATGTACAGCCTCTGAAATAATGTCACGTACTGTCATTTTATCTACTAGACGTAATAAGTATCTAGACATCAAACCTGGTTTAATGACACACACACACATATGGTTCGAATCCTACCAGAATATTGGTTTCCTTCTAATTTCTTACATGAAGACTAATCTCCGGAAAAGACTTTCAAATATGTAAATACTGACCAGTTTTGTCGACCTTTTGGAAAAACTCACCTATCTGACAAACTGCTTTTTTCCAAATTAACTTATTACACACTTAAATAATATGACTATATACTTGCTTTACACGTTTGTTTGCGCATAAATTACACTACCAAGTTAGTTCTATTTTTCGACTATGATGCGATGATAAAGTAACTTTAATAACAAATTAAAAGTGACGTTTTTACTGCTTCAAATCACTATAACTTCACAGAATTTTCTGCATCGTTAACTGCAGGACTACTTTCAAATCGCAAATGATTGTTACGTATGTCATAAATTCTTAGTTCTAAGTCTATTGTTTGATGGAATTAGTATTTTGTATTCAATTAATTATTGAAATTTAGACAAGGAAATAGATAGGAGGGAAACTGATTATATTGTGGTAAATGTAGCTTGACATAAGATTTATCGAGAAAATATGGGCGATAAGCAATTGCAACCTCTGGGATCGAAATGCAGTGAAGATACACAGTGGATTTTCCCGAAAAGATCATTGATGAGAAAGGAGAATGAATGTAGCATTACTAAAGCTGTGATTGTCTGTTTATCATGTGAGTTCTGTGAATAGTATTTGGTCAGAATGATACACATTACAGTTGCTGTTGAAAATATTAGTTTTCATTCTTCCCTTCAACAAAGAAAATGTAGGATTGCAGAAAATAAAGGTTGTGTCAAAAAATAAGTTTTCTCCATCCAATTTTATTTCTCGTTTTACTAAACCGATCTCAGTGATGTTCGTTTTCTAATCATTTTGTTTTCATCTTAGCCTGGACATGCTGGAAAAATGGTGTTTAAGTAGGTTTTGTATTCCCAAGTTAGCACATTCCAGGAAAAATAAAGTTTGCAGGAGTGTGTTCATCCTGCGTTCAATTGACCAGTGGAATAAGTGAAATCGGTCGAGCTTGAACCTCATACGACGATGATTTATAAAATGCTATACATGTTTTGCTTATACCAGTCGACTATCCCAAAGAGTTTTTTTAGATGCGCAGCACAGTTTTGCTTTCTCTTATCATGTCACCTCTTTTAATGACATATTAAGTCAAACACATTGAGTTTCCTCGATCCTTAGATTTTCTAGTTCCCCTGCGTACTGCCCTATTATAAGAAGACCCTTTTCTTCTTTCCATTCATATCTTTCATTCAGTATCTTCTGGAATTATCTGTTGATCACTTTTGAGTAGTCACTGGAATTAGTCTATCAGTTATAGTCTCTGATCAACTTCGGACTTTATTCTTACTTTGAGTTTTCGAAGCATTTATCTGACCATAAAATCCTGCCAAACACAGTAAGCGTCAAACAATTATAAGCCTACTTGTCAAGGAAAGTTTTTCAGTCAAACAGAGTGGAATGTATGCTTAAACTTTTTTATGGAAGATGAGAAATCGGTTAGGTTTGTCTGAGAAAGTATTTTAAAAGATTTCACTTTTATGTGCATGAATAAATTAACTTTAACTGAACGACTGATTTATTTGCAGCTACTGGTCATCAGGTAATCTTTGGTGGTAAAGTAATTCTCTTGATTACCAGATAAGGAGATATTTCCCGTAGTATCGCTTAGTGATTGACTTACTGGTGCTCAAACTTAATTAGGGTAAACGCTTATTCTTCAAGAAATGATTTGCTGATTACTTAGATGAGTTAGTGCTCGGTTTTGGTAGTCAGTTGTAAAGTAACTGTATTTCTTCTTAGCGTATCTGTCAGCAGTCGTTCCCCAAATTTATCTGCAGTCTTGATGAAACCCATGCCTCTTCATAAATCGACTGTAAAAACGCAACAGTAAGACTGAATTATATAGGTGATTTACTAACTTCCGCAGAAGTCCTAATCGTAAACTGACATTTATTGACCATAGATTAATTGCCTAATATTTATCATGAACATGAGGTTAATTTAATATTTTTATAAGATCTACAAAATGTGCAAACTTACACGCCAATCATTTATGCCACTCAATTCAAAGTAATCTTCTTTTGCAATCATGAAAGCAGCTAAATTCGCAGTGTATGATGCCAAAAATACAAGAGCAAATAATGCCCATATATTTGCCATAAAGCGACTAGCCATCCCTCTTGGATTATCAGCATTCACTGCAGCTCCAAATAGCATTGACCATATGAGCCAAAGTGAGCGAAAGAACGAAATCGATGGTCTGTTAAACAAAAAAGAACTGGAAAAGGTACTTTGATCAAGTTTTAAGAGAAAGGTTTTCAAAAGTGCCTTGTGATTCGCATTTTCTTTTTTACAATACCATCATCCAAAGAGTATTGTAAAGAAATTCCCGCCCTATGATCATTACTATTTTCGGAGCAAAAAGGTAGGTGATTACGAATATCTTTACGGTACAAGTGAAAGTGAAGACCCTTCATGAGCGAAGAAAGATATGTCAGCGCAGCTGATGCAAGATATTCCTGTTCTAAACATTCAAGTGGTCATCTTACCGTTCTATAAAATGTTAACAGAATAGCACGAGTGTTTTCTAAAAGAAAAGTATTTCGTTTTGTTCTCACCACTCAGTTTTACATATTTCTTTTAAAGGACTTTCCTGACGTCTTGAAAGTTTCATAATGAGTTACTGTTACTCTTAACCACTCTTGCTGTGAAATAACATACGGGCTAACCAACTCGTCTAAATAAGTCGGCTATCAGTTTCCACAATTACCATATCTATGCTATAAGCAGCAAACACATGTGAAGTAATTTCGCGGAATCGGTAGAAGAATAAAAATATATTTTAATACAATCCCAGTATGCTTAGAAAAAAACGCGCTGGGATTGTGTTGATGACTAAACTAAACTTGGAGCTTAACTATAGCCTAAATGTTTATAATTTTAGTAGGAGTACGAGTACACTAATTTAACAATGGAGATGAGCTCAAGGATAACCAAAAGCCCAGGCCTAGAACTTGGATACTTGTAGAGAAGATCATGCTAAGAGTACTTCTAAGTCTGAATATCACAGCCTACTTTTCAGAACAAGATATTCAAACAAAAAGTGGGGATTTCATTGGGATCAACAGCATCCTTTATAGCAGATTGAGAGATAGTTGAGGGACAGAACAGATGACCTTCAGGTTCCGCTGCAAGCACGCTACCAGATAGTCACTGGATCACAATTCAATCATACACATTTTCCTCCTATTAGTTCATGATACAGCACAACCTTCATCCAAAGCCGTCTTCACTTCCAACTTGATTTGCCTCAACGTTCACGACTTCTCGTTGGAACTTCGCGAAATCTCATCATGAAGCAAGTCACTAATGAAGACTGAACAATAACTGAATTTGGAAGTTTGTGGGGAATTATTAATTTCCAGTTAGTATTCATCACGTGGTGGCATCAGTTGGAGAACCGTTAAGTAGTAAAAGTAACCTTATTCACTTTTGAATTGGAAAGTGTTGAAGAGGATTTAGCTGTGTTGGAATGCAGAATTAAACGAAGGCAAGACGAGAGTTTAAACATTAGTGTATACGGGAAGTCCCCACACTGGAATGCTTACTGAAACTTAAAATCATTACACTTATTTTTAGTTAAAGTGTAGGCTTGATACAGTGTCTAAGTAGCAGGACCAGGAAACTTACAAAACTTAACAAAAGATCTGAGATGACAAACCAGACATATTTAAGTCTCCTTACTCATCAATAATTACTCTCGTAAATCAGTCAATAAGTGGATTAGTAATTGTATGAAAAATATGACAAATAGTGGTAACAGAGGCGTTAATAATAATGATAATAATGGCTTTACTGTGAAGACGGGATGTACAACTTCCAGTCTGTTATGGTACGAGAAATTCTTCTCAGAGACACCACATAGGCTGTGATTAGATAGGCATTTAAGCCGCAAACCCAAGTATAAAAAAGCTGCTCTGGCCAAAATACCTACTGATCTAATCAGGTAAAATAATTTATTTTACCAAATCCTTTGCAGTGATGACGGGTTAGATGCATATAGCAAAGTAGACGACGAGGCTCAATGAGGCTATCCAGCTGAAAAATCAAGGTTGGTAGATCCTAGTAAGATAAGGAATATAGGAAAAAGCGCGGCTATAACTTTGCATGCAACCAGACACAACTACGCATTGGGATGAGACGGAGTGACACTCCTTAAGACTAACTTATCCAGGTGGAGGGAGAGATTAATAACCGAATACGTGCGACAGGACTGACTCAGCACTTGTTGCGGATATGTGCGCGATCCTACCACCTACATCGCAAAGAAGGCTAGAAACTTAGAACTATATGAATATCTTGATATGAGTATGGACAATAAATTGTGTCCGAAAAGTAAATGATACTGTCCCATTGCATGATACACTGTATAAATGGACCAAGATAAATTGGAAACCTATTCCTTATCGATTGTTTGTATGTAATTTATTGTTGTCTAGATGTATTAACATTAAGTAATATGTGATAGATGAAGATGAACGGTTGGCAACTTAATTGGTAGTGAATTCGATGTCGAATACATTAGAACGACATCGGGTCAATTACCAACCAGTTAAACCGAACAAGTTTACATTTGCAAGCAGTAACCAAACACTTCCTATGATCTGGAAAAACTTGATAAAGTGTGCCTTTACAGATCATGCCTTATAATCAGGTCATAATATATCATTCGAAACAGCAAAAATCTCGCAAAAGGGTTCCCATTTTTACAAAGATCCTGGCATTGCAGAAGCTTTGCACATCTGATCGTGCCCTTCCGTGGTAAAAAGAAAATCTGGAGTAGACATCCCACAAATATTGCAATCATTATTGACTCGCACTGACAGTTCTAAATAATAAACAAAAAGAAGGTATAACAGAACTTCATTTCATACTATTCCAAATGATTTATTCCGAACGTATTCATCTTTGAATAGTTTTCGATGCTATCTCACTGAATCTTCTTCATCTCTTCAAAATGTTGGTTCTATTTTACCAGTTGGTCTACTCCTCTAACATAATACTCTGTAGATTTAATATTTCCATCGATTTACGCTCATCTCTGAGTTATATACATTCCATGAACTATCCTACATATTACATAATCCATTTCCTTATCATCCATACTTCAACTGCTATCATATATATAAGTACCTTTATCGTTAGCACTATTATTATTGTTACTTTTATCCTTATCGTCGTAGCTCAATTAATAGAGCATCGAGCCCGAAGCCCGGTGGTCTCTGGTCGGAGTCTGTTCGCCGTCCAAATTTTCACTTTACCTTCAACCAACACCCACTATCTTATTGCTAATTGTTATACACTGTTTGATTTTCAATTACTCGTTTTTCGAGTAACTCCAAAGGCTACCCTAGCAACTAATGAGGCAGCCAATTACATTCCTTATTTTATGGAAAAGTACTTCTCCAGGCGAAACACCAAAGCCTAATTGTTCATTTCGAGTGACTTTAAAGGCCACCCCAGCAACGATCGTTATAATCAGTTACTTTTCTCTTTTCCAGCTAGGAAGGTGTATTTTCATAAAAAACAGGATTGTAATTGGTTATTCCAGCTGTTGCTAAGGTGGCCTTTAGAGTCACTCCTAGTTATTCTTTGCTGTTATAATATTATTGACTTACTTTGATCAGGCGATCTTCCACGATTCATTCCATTCGGACTAAACCATTCGTAGATATACAGTGCTGCACCTGTCGCATGTACACTGAATACCAAAATGACACACCAACATTGATAGTCATACGGTTCTATTAAAGCATAAAGAACAGGAGTAATACACCATTGTTTGTTAGAAGTAAGATAAAGATTAGTGTACAGTGAGTCAGTTATCTTGTGCGATCCTATGACCCGGATATGACCCACAGCTTTTATTTACGGAAAAGTGATTGAATCTAACAGCCTGAGTCTCTAGCTGTAATGTAATTTGTAAACACACTATTTGTTAGATGAGCGTGAAAACATTGAATCCACTAGAAACATATTAATGTAAGTGGATTTAAATGCTTTAAAACTTATTTAAACTGATGTTGATGTTATAAAGTTTTCATTCAACGTTATAGTAACTCATGACAGGGCGAACTCACCTAAAAGGTAACAGTATAATACCTTAAATTTCTAAATAAACATTTTAAACAATTGGTTCCCTTTATTGATTTTCATAAAGCGATCAGAAGACCTAATTCGTCGGTAAATTCAGCTTTGAACTCAACGTTATTGTACTATTAACATTTTTGTTGTTGTTGCTGCTTTATTGATCTTCATTGCTATTTTGACTTTCAGCACAGACTTCTCATTTGACCACTGCTAGCCACTATCCATCTTATCTAGAACTAGAACTACACAGGTATATCGAGGCATCCGTACAGGAACCCATATGCCAATAGAGACCGGTCAATTCGGTCCAATCAACGACGGTATAATACAAGCAATAACACTAAAATTACGTCTTATTGGTTTATGATAATAAATATTTGGATAAAATGCTGTTTCCCAAGAGTTAGAAGAACAGGTGTACCAGTTTGTTTACAAATAAATCAGTCAGCCAAATATAAAACAGTTGGTTATCAATCGGTATGAATACACCCAAGTAGGTGAATAAAAGAGTTTTGATGATGAAGCGAAGTGATCTATCATTAAATCTGTGCACATGTTGTAAACACAGCTCATTTTCTTGTTCTCTTTCTTTCTAGCATCATCAGACATCTGTAATAATTTAATTCATAATGCGTTTTTACATAATGTATACGGAATAAGCCTTGGCTAAGAAAACGGTAGACTAACTCATTCAAGTCATGAAGTTAAAAGGAATTATCCTTTATGAATTTGTTTCTGGGACATTGAAGACAGATAATGTTAACGTAGCACATTTTAATTGATTACTTATAATTCCTTCCATTGAATTCCGTAATCCGTAATCCTCAGGTGGTTTAGACTTGGTGTTTAGCATTTCTTTTTACATAAAAACACACTCGATAAAACAATGATAGCCAAAAATACTCAAAAGCTGATTAACATTGGAATGTTGTTGTACGATCACAGATTGTGAAGAGAAAGATATAAATTCCATGCGCTTATTTACATAGATTATATTTTACGTGGTTCAACTCACCAATGAATTAGTCTACCAACAATTGCGTAGTAATAACCACTAAATATTTCAAGTTAGTATTCATCACTGACTAGCATCAATTCGGGAACCACTGAACGACTGCGAGCAATGGACAGCTGTTCCGTTCTATTTTCGGATTCCTCAGAGGTGCGCACTCATGACTGCATCAGCGATGAAGCCTAGGATATCTAAGTTCGTGAGAGAGTACACTACCCCTCAGCTGCTGAATCGGAATCTAACCGTCCACATTTTCCTCCTATTAGTTCATGATACAGCACAACCTTCATCCAAAGCCGTTGTTGAGTAGCCGTCTTCACTTCCAACTTGATTTGCCTCAACGTTCACGACTTCTCGTTGGAACTTCGCGAAATCTCATCATGAAGCAAGTCACTAATGAAGACTGAACAATAACTGAATTTGGAAGTTTGTGGGGAATTATTAATTTCGAGTTGGTATTCATCAAGGACTGGCGTCAGTGATCTCAGGTTTTCGGTGGTTCTCCAACTGATGTTGGTGCGCGATGAATGCCAACTCAAAACGAATGAAATTCCCACAAACCTGGAAACTGAAATGACGTTCAGTATTGTTACAAAGTATGACGAATTAAGTGGTCGAAGTAAAAAACAGAAAGGCTTTTTAGCATGATTTGTAAAGCAAGTTGTTTTGGTTAAAAGTCTAGGTTATTTCCCGACTATATGCTTGACTTATTCCTGCATATATGTAAACCTTTTTAAAAAAAATGTTTAGTCCTGGATTTCTGAAATGTGGTGAAACCAGTGTCTGTAAAAACAGTTACGCTACTGGCAAACGTATCACGAATAACATTTGGCGGTGTAGGCAGTTTGACAATAATGTCTGATCGTCATGTGTTGCGTGCGAGTTGATAAATCTTCTTTAGTTTTGCAGCTTTATATGTTTTGATACCATGTTTATTTCTGAAGTTCATGCAGTGAATAGTGAAGTGTTTTATATGGTTTACTTTACATCTAAATGTTAAACGTCATGATAAGAAGTAAGCAAAAAACTGTTAAAATTAGATATGCGTATATCATCGACAAATTGTGTTAAGGGTCTTCTAAAAGCAATGTTCTACTGCTGAATTTTATGTAAGAGTTCATTTCTAGTTGTTTGGATGATTTGAGTGTACATGTTTTCTAAAATGGTTTTGAGACTAACTGAAGGACTTTCAATCACTTATTGACTTTGCAAAAGCATTCATCGTTTCGTCTACCTATAAATTATGGATTCGATCATCTCTTCTGCTCATTACACAGCAAAATGGGGATCATATTCTAGTGCAAAAACATCCCTGCGCTTGGCATGTCATTTATGTTATATTTGATGTTGATACGAGGTGAGGAATAAAGGTGATGAGAAAACCTGACTCAATTTAGAATTCACACTAGTGGTCTACAAATTTCCTGTCAGGCGGTGAGACAACTGAACTGTGAGGACTTGGGTTTTGCATGTTGATATTGATTCTGTTTAGAAAAAACAGGTATGTTGTTATTTTGTGGCATTGTGTTGAGAAAGGAAGAAACGTTGTATTGGATTAGCATTTACTGATTTACCAACTGTTCGTGCATGGGAGCTAGCGAACCTGATACTTTCAGACCTGGTTCTGTGATAATCTAAGCAGAACCTAGCGAATACCACACTTTGGCCCCGTTTTATCTCCTGTGTGACTCATAGATTATTTTTATGGTATGTGTTCTCTGAACTGGATAGTTTAATTGAGGTGCACAACACTATCAAAATCATCTTCCTGAGCTATAAATTTTCCCCACCATAGATTGTCTCAATCTAGCAACACTTTTTGCTAACGTGTTTGTACTCATGAACTAGTCTAGACTGAATATACTTAAGCATTTATTTTTATTATGAAACCTTAAAGGCTAACAGGAAATCTTTTATAAGTTCAGTTTAATGTAAGCACATAGTTACCATACCACTCTCAGTGTAGCATACGTATTTTGAATCAAAATGGATGATCGAAGGAAATATTTTGCTATCTGACAGACTTGAGTTTACCTAATAGACCTGAAGAATAAAATAAGGAAAATCAGAGAGAGGTTTAATCTTGCAACATTAGGTCAGTTGTTAGCATACAATGGGCAAGACAAACCGTTTCAGGATCGATTGTCTTATACTGCTGAACCTACTGTATGACGTTGAAATCATCTTTCTCATACTAGAAGTTTTGAGAATTCTACCAGTTTAGGGGTGGGGGGGGGGGTCTGCTTAAATTTTGGGCTACCAAAAAAGTTCCCACTGATAATGTTCCATCAAATTCTTCCCTTTTAGTTTGTTTTAATTTTTCAACTATCTTCTGAACGCATCATTCAGTCTCACACGTTTTCAAAATGTTTTCACACTTTCATTTCTAAAGTTAAGAACAAACAAAGGAAAATCGTTCTGCTGGTGGGAAATGGATTTGTAAATGCTCAAGAATACATCATATTACTATTCCTAGGATACCTGTATAGGATTGTGAATTTCTGTGTTAGTTGACTAAACTCCCACCATCAATATTACACTCTATTTTGTAGTAATTTCCGGATCGAGGACCGATGATAATGTAATACTAGCTGCCCGTTTCACACTTATGCCTTCAATACTGTTGTTATTAACACTATACAGAAGTGATGATTATTTGTTTTAAAAATGTTGTATCGAAATCGAATTTATGGAAATATTCCATACTGAAAACTCCATACTGGATCATACATGTTGTTTCGAATAAAGCGATTATCATTATCATTGTTGTTATTATTATTATCCTGAGCTCCTTGTTCAGTACACCTAAATAAAAAAGTCATATTTTCCTAGGTAGAAAAAACCAACAGACAACTTCACCCTTTGAATTTCCCCATTCATTTCTTAGTCTTCACTACTTCCGTTTTTACCATGTTTCTATAAATTCTAAATTCCACTTTGTCGTCACCCTTTAAAATTATACAACTTCTACGTTTTATAAGTTTTTGACCAACTTTGGTTATTAAAATGTCTACTTTTCCTAACTATTTTAGTTTTCTTTATTACCACTTTTAGTTTTCTTTTTCTCTTCAATATATGTGGTTTGCAGTCCTTGAGAAACTGACTCCAAAATCACCACTAATAATTTAGCATTATATAAGTGTATCGGGTGAGGTTTGCAAAGAACCTGAGAGACAGCTTGTTGCGAGTGTTATTGCTTGCATAGATGTCTCCTTCTATCTACATTCCAAAATATCAATCTTCACAGAAATAAAATTTAGCTGAGACAGACTCGTAAACTTACGGACAACTTCATTATATTTGTATTATTATTATTTGTCCCTAGGATTCCTAGTGGAACATGGGGCTTCAGTAGCACATCGCCACTTCACTCTGTTCTCTGTAGTCTTTCAACCTGGTTCCACGACTGCCCACAATCTATTATTTCTTCCTCACATGATCTCCATATTACCCTCGGACGCCCAACTCCTCGCTTCTCATCTGAGTTCCACTCGAGGGCCTGGGGCGTGAGGTCCTCGGATGGTCTTCTCCTCACTGATTTCAGATCGATGAAGGCCTGTTTTGGTGCCTATCCTGCGCCGCCACCTGTAGTTGAAGCGATGCTGCCTAGGTATGTAGGTGAAAGAGACTACTTCCTTTAGATTTCTTCTGTTGATGGTGATTGGTGCTTGTTGTTGATTCTGTTGTTGGTTGGGTATCTTCACCACCTCTGTCTTCTCTACGTTCACCTGAAAGAAGTCCCATCCTCGCTGCCCTACCCTGCCCTGCCCTGCCTCTTCTGTCAACCTGTTGGTTTTCGCCTGTAGATCTTCAAGCTTGTGCGACACTAGTCATGAATCGTCACTGGCGAGATCCAAATCTTCTTCAGGGGCCTTTCCATTGGTCCAGCCAGCGTATGCCCCTCTTCTCACAGCTCCTCACGGTTTGCTACATGATCCAGTCCAGTCCAGTCGATCACAATCAGGAAGATCATCTGTGATAGTAGGCGGCAGTCTTGTCTTACCTACCAACCTGTCTTCACTTCAAAGGCGTCACTGAGCTTTCCATTGTGAATCACTTGGCATGTGGCATCATCTTCATCATGTAGCTGCTGTTGAATGAGGTTGATAAAAGTTTGTGGCGCTAAAACCGTGGTGCTGAAGCAGTTGCCAAATTACTTCTTGGTTGACGCTGTCGGAGGCCTTCTCAAAGTCGATGAAGCCGAGGTAGAGATCAAGGTGGCTGCCATTTTATGCTCTATCCTATGATGCGTAGCGTTGCAACCTGATCCACATATGATTTGTTCTTCCTAAAGCCAGCCAGTCGGTTCCGGTTGTAATTTTGAATCCAGAGCATCCTTTAGTCTTTTCAGGACGATGTGGCTTAATATTTTGCTCGGGATCGATAAGAGTATGATTCCATGCCAGTTCTTGCAAAGGCTTAAGTCTCCCTTCTTCGGGAGTTTGACAAGGTAGCCCTCCTTCCAACCAACCGGCAGGTACCTTTCCTTCCTTCCTTCCAAACCTTCCGCAACAGTGGTGTGAGCAAGTGTGCTGTTGTCATTGTGTCTGTTTTTAATGTTTCTGCATGAATTCCATATCGTCCTGCTGCTTTCCCACATTTCACTAGCTTTATGGCTTTCAGGAATTCCACTTTTGTCGGAGGATTTATGTTCACTGGTAGTTCTGTGACTGCAGGTGGTATCTCTGGACAAAGTGCAGGTGGTGGTCGATTCAAGAGCTTCTTGAAGTGGTCAGCCCATTGTTTCCTCTGTTTCTCTTCTTTCGTAATTAGATTCCCTTCATCATCTTTTATTGGTTTCATCTGTATTGATCTCTTCCTCACAGATAGCAACCTGGCTATTTGATACAATGTTGTCAGGTCTCTATCTCTCCTACCTGCAGCCTGTTCTGCTTCACTTTCCAGTGTTTCGTAGAAGTTTCTTTTGTCTTTCCACGCACTCTTCCTCACTTCTTTGTCCAGTTTTTTATACATTGTGCTCAGTTCCTCTTGTCGTTGAGCATCATTGCACTGGTTCATCTTCTGCTTCACCATCCTCCTCTCCCTCCTCTATCAGCTTCCATGTGTCCATCGAGATCCATTCCTTATCTTCTTTCTTCTTCCTTCCTAATACTGTTGTGCAGGTTTCCTTCCACATAGCTTTCAAAGACTTCCAGTGTTCTTCCACATAGGTTTCTTCAGGGATGTTACTCGATATCTCCCATTTTGTCTTGATGACTGACTGGCGTGCAGATGTCCTTTGTAGTTTCATCCTTCAGTTTCTGTTCTGGGTGTTGAACTTGAACTGTGGTCCATCATCAACTTCTTTGAAGGCTTTTAACTTGATTTGGAAGCTTCCTTGCACTAGATTGTGGTCTGAACCTACATCTGCTCCTCTTTTTGATCATATCTTGCATCCAGTAGGCTGCGTCTCCACTTTCTTCACATTGAGATGAAGTCGATCTGATTTTTAGTGTGTCCATCTGGTGAAATCCATGTCGCTTTGTGAATATCCTTGTGCTTGAACACACTGCCTCACTGCAATCACCAAATCGTTGAATGTACAGAATTCTGCAAACAATTCTCCATTCTCGTTCATCACCTTACCTAGCGCTTCTCGACCGTGGTTAGTTCTCTTCTTGTGTATTCCGCTCTCAGTTTATCATTAAAACATGTCACCCATTAGAATGAGTTTTGCTGTCGCCAACTCGAGTATTGTCTTTTACTGATGGCAGTTGTTTATAGAATTCCATTTTCTTCTCTTGATCCGCATTATTTGTGGTTGCGTAGCGTAGCGTAGCATTGTATTATTGTGACCTTCCTCCCTTTTGAGCTGAACCTTGCTGTCATGATCCTGGAGATTGGTTCCCACTGCATGAGAGTCTTCGATACTGTTGGGGACATCATGATAGCCACTCTATAGCTCAGTGTGCTCGTGGTTGTCGTCTGAGTGACAGTATCGGAGTAGATTATTGACTCTCCAGTTGAAGGTTGAGAAAGTCCACTTCTATTCCATCTGGTTTCGCAGATTCCTAGCACTTCTACGCTATACCTTCTTATCTCTTGGGAGTCTGCGTAGCCTTGCTAGGTTCAAACATGGTGCGGACAACCGATGTCCCAATTATTGCTTTTGCTTTCATCGAGAGAGGAGAAGACAGATCGGCCAAGTGGCTTTCCGAAGGCTTTCACCAACTTGCGTCATTGCGTCTCCGTGATTTCAGCGATGTATAAGTTTTTAATTTTTTATATTTCTTTGTGCTTTGAAGTTTCTTTAGCAATTGGGTTGCTTTTCCGGGGTAGGGTGGGTAGGCCTGTGCCCAACCTTCGCTCTTCACCCAAGCTTAGGACCGGTTAGTAACTAGTGAACTAGTTACCTAGGCGAAGTTCATTCTATATGTAATGATGTTATTATAAACAAGCATCTCAATAGGAATATCTTAGTTTCACTATCGAGAGAGGTTTCTGCACTTCAAACAAGTTTTATCACAGCCTCGTCTCATCCAGCATATCAATTAGCATTCGGGAATATTAGATAATTGTTATTCTTAAATATAGAGCTCTTCGTCAATACATGGGCAGAACCACGTGCTGAATTGAGCTCCTTAATGTAAGATTTCATGATACTGATGTTAATTTTTGGTCATTAGATTTAAACTCAGTTGTCTGAATTACGTAACTTCTGTCGTTTCATGGGATGATGTAAGCCTCACTCAATTTCGTTGGTGGGTATCCATTCCCGTGTCTGATCTGTTCCTCCGTAGTTCATAGGTGCCCACCCAATAGAACCTCAATTATCAGTCCTTAACGGCTCCAAGTTGGATTTCTCAAAGTTAGCCAGTATTCTGCGGCCTACTGGTATCATTGAAAGTGGACGAATGCTGACTGTTCGTACTGTAAGAAACTCTTGGTACCAGATTAATGCTGGGAATTAATAAACTTGGTTTCTTAACGTATTTACCCTAATAAACTGATGATTTTGTCTTGTTATCGATAAAACATGGTAGAATAAGTCGGTTATAAAACTACTTTATTCACCTGGTCTTTAAAAAATTCTCTTCAGAAACAGGAAACTGATAATGGCATCTATGAATAAAGTCAGGCTACTATCCGTCTGACGCCGTTTTCACATTTGGGCTATGGAGTATCTCGTGCTTACTAGATAAAATTTGTAAACCGACTGCGAAGGTCAAGTTTACGAAAACAGAACGCTTTCGATTTTGAAAAAAAGGAGAATTGGAGCCCCTCATATACCTAAAAGCGGATATTTTTTCATCTGTCATCCAACACTGAGAGATTTGTCAGCTCTCAAAGTCAAAACTCCATGCTTAATAGGTCAACAGTTATCATACCGAATTCCTACAATGAATAAATACTTTCATTTTATATAGGAGTGAGAAGAAGCTGTTTAAGCAACGGTGATAATGTGTCTTATTATGATGAAAAACCTTTTAACTACGAGGCACTTCCTAAATTCACTTATAGTTACACTGTGTTTTTGTTGTTAGTTCTTCATAAATCGAATAACTTCTAACAGCAATGTTAATCATAAACAGTATGAGTAAAATATCAGTCTACAGACTATTTAGAGTTTTTTGCGTGCGTAAACAGTTAAGAGTTAGGCGAAAATAAGATAGTAGGATACTTACGATCATCCAGTCAATAATATACATGGTTTCATCTTTTCACAAGCTGATCATTATCAACTGAGCCTACAACAATCACTTCCGGCTCAAAAGTGAAATATTACGAAAGCAAAATGGATACTGATTCCAGATTGGAAAACTTGGAACACCTTACAGCTGTTTCATCCTGGTATGTGGTGCTTCATCAGTGTGCACCCACGACCCCACCAGTGATCGAACCTAGAATCTTCAGGTTCCGTGGCCGGCGCATCACCATTGAGCCACCTGGTCGGAATCCAATGATCTATATTTACTACTTCTGTGAGTTAACGACCTCCATCTAATGCTGTCTTTGAGTAACTGCCCTCATGTTCGACTTGATGATGATGATGAAAACCAACCTGAAATCAATAAGCAAATCCCACAAACCTCCAAGCTGGAAATGCATATTTATGTATCACTCAAACAGGTCAGTCAGCTATCTGAGTTATCCTTGTGGCCGATGGGAAATAATTTAAATGACATTTTTATGAGACTTTTCCATCCAACACATCTAAGTAAGGGTAGTTTAATTGTGTTGCGTGTATTTATATCCTCTCTCGACACCGTTCCTGTATGCATGCAGCTTATTTTCCAAAATTTTACTGCGTTCTTTTTACTTTTGTTTATCCATGATCGACAACTGTCATTATGTATTAACCTATTTAGCCTACTGAATGAATGAAGATTTCCAGCAACGTAAGAAACTGTATGATAGACAACACATTTTGAAAATTGTAAAGACGAAAATAACTTCGACTTACTTAGAAATGCTGTCGGTGCTATAGCACCTTCTCTTAAGGCTACTGTTACTGCTATACCTGTTTCCAAAAAGGGTACGCTAAATTCAATTTGTTGCGACCGATTCGGTGTGATTTTCAATGATGTCACTGCCATATCAGCTCTATTATCCATTAGATCACGTATTATACCATTCCATCCATCCGGCTTTTAAACGAAATTACAGTGAGAAAAAAGTAAGCAGATTAAAGTTACCTGTCAATTAGGTGAGAAAACATCAACAATAATAAAGTTAATCATTGTTGCTATACATTCTTAAACGGAGGTTGACATTTGCAAGGAACAATATAATCGAAAAGCTATAAAAGTCACTGTTATATGCCTTGATGTATCGGTGTTTCTAGTTAACCGGATTTCCACAAATCATAGTAACTGTCAATCACCACGGAAATTTGTTTCCGGGTGACGATATTTTGATATTTCTGTTGACACATTAACAGTAAGATACAGGTAACATTCGATGGTTTCATATTCCATAAAAACAGTATCACTTTGTGTCGAACGCAATAAACACTAATTTTATCACAAAGCACCAAATACTGATGGCGAATTTATTTGCACAGGTTAACTAGTCATGTATGACAAGATAAATTAACCTTAATATTACACCATTTAAATGTTATACAGTCCTTAATAAATGAATACAGGCGGATAAAAAATGAGGATTATAAGAAGACGAAGAGATTTAATTCAAAGTTTTGTGGGGATTTAGTGATTTTTCAAATTGGTATTCATCAAGGATGACGGTCGCGCTATGTCGTGAACTGAGAGAAGTTGGAAATATGGACCAATGAATTCCGATTCATTGGGTCAGTGGTAACGTGCTGTCCACGTAACCTGTAGGCCCTGGGTTCGATCCTAGCGAGGTTATGAGTGTGCACTGCTTAAGCGTCCTATACTAGGACAAAACAGGTGTCCAGCACTCCCAGGTTTCCAATGTTTACCCAACTGATGTCAGTCCATGGTGAATACGAACTTGAAAAAACGAAGAGAGATAAATAGTGAGAGGGATAAGGAATTTGACTTTTCCTGGAATTGGGAAACTTTAGTCTTCCACAGTCATCTTAATGGGCAAATTATAGGCACTGACTAACCGCTTTTCTCTAGCTTTGAACAGTCTGCAATCAAACCATGCATGTAACATGCTGTAGACGCATCAAGGACATTGCACTATATACAGTTGCTGCTTAGACTTGCTTCACAAATTGACCATTGCCTGTACATAGGGATGCTGACTGGAGTTAAACGAAGGCCTTGTTTACTATATGACTAGAACCAGCATCTTCTAGGTATGTAAAACAAAACGCTTCTGGCATACACAATTTCCGTCATAATCTGTGTAATTAGGAATATATTTCTAGGGATCAGGAAATGTCTCATAACATGATTATAAAGTGAAATTGGCTAGTACTTATCCGTTATTAGTTTCATCAGGAAATTAACTTTGAGCATAATCAACGGTTCGTATAAATATGCAACCGGGATTTCGGAGGATTCAACTTACTGTAAGTAACGTGATCAATTTTTCTTCAGTTTTTTCAACCTTCTTGTAACTGGTGTTTTCATTGACTCAGTTACCTTCTTCTTTATACGATCAGTCAGTAATCTTGATATAGCATCTAACATTGACATTATTTCATCCACTTATTAGATTATTTCCATCATCTAGATACAGCGAAAACAACACTTTTCGTGGAATAGCATGAATCCATTTTATTTAAGAGTTTCTCATCGGCTACTTACAGTATGAAACGATTTCAATATAATATTCAAATTAATGGTGGATAATGGCTAACAGTGGAAGCCAGGAAGCGCGTTTCGTCCTATTTGGGGCTCGTCAACCGGATGTACCCGCATCCCAGTGAGCGATGTTGCTTCTAGTGGGACTTAAACGACCGGATAGTACAAGCAACAACATTAAAACTGTACTCGTCTCACGTTAAGTGGCTGTCGTGACTAGGTGGTCTGGTGAATAACGCTATGGCGTTTGAAGAGATCGGTCCCACATTCGAGCCCAAGTGGGAACAACATCGCTCACTGGGGTGTAGGTACATCCAGCTGACGGGTCCCAAATAGGAGAAAACATGCTTCCTGGACCTCACTGCTAGTCAGTAGCTATCATTAACATATAATTAAAACACAGGTAGTATCGAGGCATCTGCTCAGGAGCCCTTAAGTCCAGTAGAGACCGATCAATCCGGTCCACTCAGTGACGGGATAATGCAAGTAACTGCATCGATATTCAGAATGCTTACTTACTTGAATCAGTATGATTCAGAATTATTGACCTTAAGAAACTATAACACTGATGTTATACAATAGAAATCTCACGAACTAAGTGTATAGAAATCATATTTATAATAATGTTGCTTATATACAAAAAGATTTAAGAAATATTCCAGATCGGAAAATGGACAAAAAAAGGGAGATACAAATGTATTTCACTGAGGATGTACGCTACTTTAGGAAATAAGGTGAATTACACTGAGACTATAAGGTCAAAAATGTGAAGTGAGACAGCAACAAAGGTGTCTTCAGTGATAATGATAATAAAGAGCAAAAAATGGGATTATCAAAGTCACCATGATAAGTTAAATCTGATAACTGCTTCTGTCCGAATACATAATTTCGGATTTTGTCGTTTAATAGTTACTAATTCAGTAAGATGCAATACATTTAGTTCACCTGTTTATTAGTTATTTGATAAAATCTCGGGATATCTATATTTGTACTATAAGTAACGTGACGAACAATATCTCTGTTAAAGATTTTCACGACTGTTTGTCATCAACTCTTTAGAATGCATGCAGATATCCGATCACATACTCCGTATGCTAGTTCTGCCATGTATATGCTTTGATACGTACACGAGTAGTGTTAAGTGGTTATGGAAATAATACTAATAGGAGGCTTATCAACTTTAGGTTATCTTAATTATCAATCCATTCGGGAAAGTGAGATTACTCTGGTAATATTTATTCTCTAATCGATTCTCCCAGAAGCACCGTCTCCTCTGAAGTCAAGATTTAGGGTGATATGTGTCTTCTTAACTACTTTGCGGTTCTCACTTTTAGTTGGTACTTTCTTGCACTTACCAATGAATTTTCGTGCATCTCTGTTATCACAAAGACAATTGCCAACAGTGGTCATTTTCTATTTTGAACTCTTTTTCGAACAAAGAAATCTAACTTATGGAACAGAAGCTGTGGAAATTAGGATATATTCCACCCCATAAATCTCTACTTTGGTTAAATCATTGTACATTGGTATCTGCATTTCATCACTTCCGTGATTGAGGAAGAAGAGCTTCTCTTTCTACTAATGTTTCATTTTAAGTTCTATATTTTGATATGTCTTGTTGGCAAGTTTAGGGCTATCGCGAACAATGGACGTATCATCAAAATACCAAATGTAGAATGCTTTCTCTTCGAATGTGTACTTTATACTTGTACATTCAAGGTTCCCCGAAGCGATATTAGCTGATATGGGAGCGGATATAATGTCCATCGCAGCTCCATCAGTTTGAAAATACATAAATTTCCAAATTTATTATTTCATACAATTCTTTCTCATCACTAATTTAAATAGTGTGAGAACAGCAGCTTTAGCAGAATATCATGGATCCATTTTCACTTCACAGTTTCTCATCAGATATTTACAACCTAAAATAACATTAATACCAATCTATATAAGTTGGTTGGTTGTGGCTAGCAGAAGAATTCAGGAAGCACATTTCGTCCTATTTTGAACTCCTCACCTACACCTCAATGATATTGTTCCCACTGAGACTCGACCCTCTTACATATCGCTTCAAATGCCAAGGCGTTTTCCACTATGCCACGGAGGAACGGTAGCCACTTCTTGTACAACGGGTAGTAGTTATTATTATTTTTTGACATGCATGTTGTTCTGCGTTGTTTTCGCTGGATCGAATTGTTCGACATTTTTATGAGACCTTTCCATCCAACACATGGGCTCCTATGCGGATGCCTCGATATTGCCTGAATGTGAATTATGATAATTTAGTTGGTTGTAGCATAGTGGATTACGCCTTCGCGTTTGAGGCGATGGGTATGAAGCTCGAGTCCCAGTGGGAACAAAATAGGACGAAACATGCCTCTTGGATTCTTCTGCTAGCTCAACCAACCAAATTATCATAATTAACACTCAGGCAATATCGAGGCATCCGCATAGGAGGCCATATGCAAATAGAGGTCGGACAATTCGATCCAACAAAACAACGGAGAATAACAAGTATGTCAATAAATTTACATAAGTGTTAACATGCTTGAATCAGTTTGATAGAAAATCGTCGGTTGAATTGAAGATAATATCGAATACTCACGAAGTGAGTGAATCAGTATGCGGAGGGATTAGATGAATATTCTAGAGCGGAAGTTGGATGAGAGGGGATGACAAATATATTCAACATGTTGAAGCTTACATAAAATTTGTGGTCATAATGTTGACTAACAGCCAATGTGAGTAGAACTCAAATAATTAGATCAAAGGTGTGAAAAGTAAAAAACAAAAAAACTCAACTTGTGTGACAAGTAAAAACATGAAAATTGTCAACAAAACAAAATTGTTTACTGTAACTGTTTTTATCACTGAGCAACAAAAGTTCAGTTTTCATCGTTTGATGGTTAGTGCTTCAATGAAACGCAACAAATTCGAATTCATCTCTTTATTAATTATTTTGAACTATTTCTGAACGTCCACTTCATGTTCACTATCAATAAGGTGAAAAGCAATAACGCTTTGAAGATTTTTCCACATCTCAGTCGTATATTCCTGGAAATGTTCTCACACATGCAGTCACAAACGCTTCTTTCTGTTTGTCCAGTGAATGTGCTTAGGATACACATGTGAATTAATACAAGTTGGGTTTTTCGTTGTTTTATATTTCACACCCTTAAACTAGTTATTTGAATTCTGTTCACATTGGCTGTTAGTTAACATAAATTTTATGACATTACTTCACACAGTATGCGTAACCTTTCTCAATATTAGATATATCTTGTGTTTTTTTAAGTCATGACATGTCTGAACTGAAATAATTACGACTTTCCGCACGGAAGTCTGGTCCGAGCTTTATCAAAATTAAACTATCAAGGATATTTTTCGAGGGAGTTGTGGGGATTTGG